TGGCTTGTCGATTCATGCTGATGGACAGAGGGGGCAGGGTACGTATTTGTGCGCACACGGCTTCCCTGGTTTTCCTACTACCTCATACATAGCAACCAGTGAAATATTAAAAAACATGAAAACTGTCAAAAACCATAAATCAAGACTTCGGTCTTCATCAATACATCTAAATTTACCATTAGCTATAAATTTAAGACATCTTTATATTTCTTACCTCCAGACAGACTTGAAACATGGAATGCTAAATACAAAGTTCTGTTGGTATTCATCTCACACACTCCCCAGAATTCCATGATAAGCAGCCTTGATGTCAACCTTTTTTTTTTCTGTTCCCAAAGGAAAAGGCAAAATTTGGCAAAATTCCTGAACTAAAATGAATTATGTTTCCTTTTCATAAAAAATGTGACAGGACACTGGGCTTGGTGGCAGATGCCTGTAGTCCCAGCTACTCAGGAGGCTGAGGCAGGAGGATCACATGAACCCAGGAGTTCGAGGCTGTAGTGTGTGATGATCCTATCTGTGGGTAGCTGATCATCTAGTCTGGGCAATATAGCAAGACCCCATCTTTAAAAAAAAGTGACTTAGAAAGAGGGAGAAAGTTATAATGAAAGTAATATTGGCTGCTTGATTTTTTTTTTCAGACCATAGTCATGAAAACATTAGTATTTATTGACATGGGAATTTGTGGACTGCTTAAAATTTGTAACAATTGTATTTATTGTAGAAATAAATTCAACTTTATAACAAAGGGCAGCCAAACTATGGCTTGGGCTGACAGCTTTTCCTGACGGTATAATAGACCACCTTATCTCTGTGCAGGACCTGACAGTTTACAGGGCGCTTTCTCAGTTGGAGTAGGGACTCGGGGACATTAAATGACTTGCTCATGTTGTACAGGTGGCAGGTGGCACAGCTGAACTTCTAACATTTGACTCCAAATTGTGTGTTCTTCCTATCACACTTCAGCCGTCCCAGTGTAGGAAATAATGTCACAAATTGCATATTCAGTGAAATAACAAACAGAATAGATGTGTATGGAAAAATTATAGGCAAATTTGGAGAATTTTTCGATTGGTGGTTTGGATATTGTAGTCAGTCAAAATGAGTAACAGCAGTGATGACAACTACGTCTAATTCTGTGGCCATGAACATGCCTTTTTAAAAAAAATAATGTTTTTCCTTTCCCCCCTGATCTTACTGCCTTAACTCGGAGTCCCATCATTTTATGCTGGAGTACTTCAAGAGTTCCCTGGAGTCGTCCTTATTTTGTGTTTTCCCTCCAGTATTGCCAAATAAGTTCTCTGTACCTCTCTCCCTTCTGTCATCCTCACCCCCCTTAAAGCATTCAAGAACTTTGCGTGACTTTCCGTTTAGGACCAAGTCTGTGCCTCTTCCTGGGCACTCGAGGTCTTCTCAACCTGGACAGTTTCCCACCTTCACCTTCCACCACTAACTCCAGTCCATGAGACCTCTTTAGTAATTACAGAGCCAATTTCTATATCTTTACATGCCAGGTAAAAGTGGAGTGGCTAGGGAGTTCTATTGGAAGCCACATTTATGTAATACTTTCACTAAAATAGAGTAAAAATCCACTGTTTACATAAGAATTAGATGTTTTCTCACGAAAATCAGGGTGGAGGTGGGACAAAGCCCCCAACTATTCCTTGGTGAGGTGTTTGAAAATGAAAAGAAAAATAAAATGGTAAGAAATTGCTCACAACCTCTAGTTAACTATGCATTTCTAGAGAGGTGATTTCCTTTACTCGGCTACTGTTGCTCTTTGACTGCAGCTGGTTTTCTGGCTCATGTTGAAGATGATGTACTATAACTGTGCTCACTGAGGAGCTTTAAAGATTTTAACAATTTCAAAAGGGAAGTTAAAGCAGTTTGATGATCATTTGCATCATTGTTACCAACAGCACAGGATGCCAAATTATTTTCTAGCTCATCACGTCAAGCACTAGGTATGTAAACAGGCAGTGACAAGCGCTCAGAGACTCTCAAGTCTACTCAGAGAGTGAGAACGGAAAGATGTCAGAATTAAACCTGGGTTAAATTTCTAACACTATCACTTATCACAGGGGCAGCTTTAGGCGTATGGTTTAACCTGCTTGACCCTCAGTCGCCTCATCTGTAAAATGGGTCTAACAATACTTCTTCACAGAGGTCTAAGTATTAAGAGGTAATGTAGATAAAGGGTTAAGTATAGCCCCTAGCACCTGGTGTGCACTCAGTAAATGGCAGTTAGTACGAGGATGGCAGCTTCTCTTGCTATTAATATTACAGAAATACAGGCCAACATCCATGCTAAATGTGCAAAATTGGGAATGATATTCAAGGGCTGAGGTCTTAGTGGTGGACTTTATGAAGAAGGTGGACTTGCACAACTTTGTAGGACTTAAGTCAGAGGGATGAAGGAGCATTCAGATGAAGTCCGCAGTCAGACTGAGAGAGCCAGGACAACTAAAGCCCATAGAAGCGACTATCGGGAATCCAGATGGCTCAGCCACACTGCGGTGCCCTCATCACCAGGGTATCTTTTGGTTCCTTCATTAGCGACAGCTGAGTCTTTCTGAATATTATCTAAAGTGCTACATAAATGCAATATAGAGAGAAGTCCGCTGGCCGCTCTTCTGAGCATATCGCTGCCCCTAAGCCAGCGGTTCTCAACCTGTGGGTGGCGACTCTTTTGTAATAATGAAAATACATGGTGGCATTAGGAAGGTTGAGAACCGCTGCCCTACGCCCTCTTATGCAGAAACTCATGAACTATCACTTGATGCATACATCCCACCCTGGACATGCAGATATTAAGCAATTATTGTTAATGTTAAGTGTGATAATTACATTGTGGTTATGTAAAAAAAAATCCTTATCTTTCAGAGATGCTGCAGATTGAAATATTTATAAATGAAATGAGGGTGATGGTGACTTGAACTGTATCCAAACAACGTGTAGTGGGGGACAAGGTGGGGACACAGATAAAACAAGATTCATAAATTAGTAATTATTGAAGAAAGAAACAACAAAACTAAAACCAAAAATCCCTGGAAATCTATATTGACCATCTTCTTTTTAGTTTCATATTATATGTTTGGGGCTCAGATGCATCTTAATTTATATACATTGATTCATACGGAATGGGCCCAATTTCCCCTACAAGGTCAGGAAGGTATAAACACTCTCCTTAATTCCCCAGGGGAGTCCATAGAATTGGTGTCTGGAATATAAAACAATTCGTCTTTGTTCTCTCATTCTGTCTGGACAAATTAGGTTGTGGTTTTTTCTAGCTGATGTGTAGAAAGCCATGCCTACTATTGGGAGTCAAACTAATGGAAGAGCACTTCTAAGCAGGTGGAGGGGGATCAGTCTTAGAGAAACAGGCTGGTTCACTCCACACTGGTAGCTACACTTGACCTTAAAATCCCTGAAATAAACTGACTGCAAATGGCCGAGTGGCGAATACTGAGGTCACCACTCAACGTTCAACACAACTGAAAATCAACAGTGGCTACCAATTTCTTCACATAAAAATACATTTACTCATTATCCCACCCCTCTGTAGCCTAAATACATACAGATTTAAAATATTTTGTAATGTATTTTGACCTCTTTAAAATTTGACTTGAAAAGGAGTAACAAAATGTCATGTGGCAATTTGAAAGAACTAATGCCAGTTTAAGAATAAAATCCTTTCTGCAGAGTAGTAGAAAGAATATTGTAAATGAGAGCTCAAGTTCTGACTTTCCCATATGTTAGCTATGGGGATTTGTAAACATTGCCAGTTAGGGCTGGGCACGGTGGCTCACACCTGTCATCTCAGCACTCTGGGAGGCCGAGGCAGGTGGGTTGCCTGAGCTCAGAAGTTCAAGACCAGCCTCAGCAAGAGTGAGGCCATCTCTACTAAAAACAGAAAAATTAGCCAGGTGTTTGGTGGATGCCTGTAGTCTCCGCTATTTGGGAAGCTGAGGCAAGAGGATTTGCTCAAGCCCAAGAGTTTGAGGTTGCTGTGAGCTATGATGATGCCAGAGTGAGACTCTGTCTCAAAAAAAAAAAATTACCAGTTAGTTCTTTGAAGATCAAGCTCATCTCCAACCTCACAGTAACAATAATAAACTTACTATACATAGTATGTGATAAAAACTGTTCCAGAACTTTTTATGAATAAACCAATTAAAACCTCCTGACAACCCCACGAGGTGGGCACCATTATTATCATCATCCCCACTCTGCAGATTAGGGAACACGGAGAGCACTGTGGCTAGCGTGGCACAGAGGCAGTGCGCCTTCAGAACTCAACTCTCAGCCCTGTACAACCTGCTCCTCGCAATACCCCCTCCCCGAGGTTGCCAGGAGGATAAAATTAGACAATAAATGGTTAGTGTGATATGTATTTCATACTCTTACCTACTAAGTATGGCAGGTGAAAGTGTTTTATATGCTATAAAAGCAGTGTACAAGTATTAAAAGTATTTTTCTCTTCCTGAAGAAGACAATAAATATTCCCAAGCATTATAGATTCACCCAAACTTAAAGAAGAATGGTACTAAAATCTTAAAATGAATGAATAATATAAAAATTATATCAATAGCTCCTGGACTTCAGTATGCTCTAATTCAGCAATTCACTCCATGTGGGGGAGAAACCAAGAACATGAGGCAAGCAACACAGATATTAAAAAATAAGGATGGGTGTGATAGCTCAAGCCTTTAATTCCAGCACGTTAGGAGGCCAAGAAGAGAGGATCATTTGAGGCCAGGAGTTTGAGATCAGCCTGGGCAACATTGTAAGACCCCATCTCCACAAAAAAATAAGCAAAATTAGGCATGATGGTGATGGTGGTGCATGCCTGCAGTCTTAGCTACTTGGACAGCTGGAGTGGGAGGATTATTTGAAACAGAAGTTTGAGGCTGTATGAGCTGTGATTGCACCATTGCACTTCAGCTAGAGCCACAGAATGAGACCCTGTCCCCCCAAAATTAACTAATTGAAAAAAGATCCTGTCGCCAATGAAGCTGATGGCATTCCTTTCCTCTTGGGAGCCCAGTGTGTAAACATCATAAACAACAGCCTCCTTGGCAGTGTACATAGCTGGTTGCTTGCAAGGGTTGCTCTAGGGAACCTTGGAGACAGCCCTTTGGATGTGGGTGTGTCAGATCTGGTGCTGCGTCAAATTTAAGCTCCAGACAGGAGTGCAAGGTGCCTTTGGAAGTCCCCAGGGCACAGTGGCCAGGGTTCCCATCGGCCGTCATCATGTCCATCCACACCAAGCTGCAGAACAAGGACCATGTGGCTGAGGCCTTAAGGCCGCCATCAGGTTTCCTGGCTGACAGAATATCCCCATTTCAAAGAAGCCGGGCCTCACCTAGTTTAATGCGGATGAATGAAGATACGGTGGCTGAGAAATGGCTCATCCCAGATGGAGGTGGGGTGGGAAATACTCCCAGTCACTGCTCCCTGGACAAGTGTTGGGACCTGCACTTGGGGGGCTTCTGCTGTGCCACCCCCTCCACTTCATGCCCACCAATAAATCCTACTTCTGTCCAAAATAAAGGCCTATGTTTAAAGCTATCTAGGTGTTACGGGCTGAATTATGCTCCCACAAAATTTGTATGTTGAAGCCCCAAACCCCAGTACCTCAGAATGTGATTGAATTGGGAGATAGGAGGGCCTTTAAGAGATGATTAAGTTAAAATGGGGTCTATAGAGTGGGCGCTCAGAGAGAGGACTGGTGCCCGGATAACACAACCGTAGGGATGACCATGTGAGAACACAGCAAAAAGGAGACATCTGCAGCCCAAGGGGAGGGGCTGCAGAAGAACCAAACACACAGACACCATAACCTTGACATTCTAGCCCCAAGGACTGTGAGAAAGAAAACACTATTATGGGATCCCCCCTCAGCTGTGGTGCTTTGCTATGGCATCCTGAGAAAACCACAGCATTTTGAAGTAGAGATAATAGCTGCTGATGTGGTGACCTGCTAATTAAAGTCCCTAAAATATTTTTTATTAAAGACCAAAGGAATTAGCCATATTAAAATAACTTAAATCATCTTAGGGTTTTTTTTTTTAATTTTGCCCTTTTTTCTACACTAATTAGTAAGTAGCTGGAACTGACCAGCATGAGGAAAATGCCACTAAAATGTTCTTTCTACAGGTGAAGTTCTCTCCCTCTATATCATACCCATCCCATAGAAAGAAATGTTCTTTCTACAGGTGAAGTTCTCTTCCTCTGTGTCATACCCATACTCACACATACTCCAGAGAGAATGGACAACACTTTGGGAATATGGACCTACATTCTCTCACTAAAATATTAATTTCTTTCATTTACATCTACCTACCTGTCTGTATCTGTTTATCTATCTATCCACACATTCATCCACCCATACATCCACTCATTCATCTGTCCATTCATCTAATCAATATTTATAGAATGCCTATCATGTGCCAGATGCCATTTTAGGTACTAAAAACCTACTTTTTTTTTTTTTTTTTCATTTAAAGACAGTCTCACTCTGTCACCCAGGGTACAGTGCTGTGGCATAGACCAGCTCAACCTTAAACTCCTGGGCTCATGGTATCCTCCCAGCCCTGTCTCCTGAGTAGGGGGGACTATAGGAACCTGCCATGACACCTGGCTAAATTTTCAGCTTTTATTAGAGATGGGGTCTTGCTCTTCCTTAGGCTGGTCTCAAACTCCTGAGCTCAAGGGATCCTCCCACCTCAGCCCCCCAAAGTGCTGGGATTACAGGCATGAACCATAGCACGCAGCCTAAAAACATACTTCTCATTGTTGGACAAGTGATGCCTCACAAAGTTTCTAAAAGAAAACTGTAAAGTAGAAGTCATAGAGAAGGAAACAAATGACGTAGAATTCTGGTGAATCGTTACCTAAGAGGAAAGCTACAACTCAGCTCTGGAGAGTTCCCGTAGACAGACAGGTTTTCTAAACCTTCCAATATTGTAGAATAATTCAGGCATTTGTGATTTTTAGTGATCTTTCCATTTTTATGCTGGTGAAATATCTGAAATCTTTTCACAAATACTATGTGAGCCAAATAAAACATAGCTGCCATCTGGACACCTAGATGTCCCCAGAGGTTTGTGACCTCTACTCTAGACTATGAGGACACAGTTTCAAAAGTGCCAAGTTAGTCAACCCCCAGCTGCTAGACCCCCAGCTGATTCTCCACACCTCCTAGAGAGAGACTTTTCTGCATATTCCTGCATATCTATAGGCAGGTACAGAAGCTGGATCTTCAAAGAGATGTTTCTCAGAACCAATCTCCTGGAGGAGCACATTGAAGGGAACTGCCATGTCTGAGCAAGGGGAGCTTATCTCCTACATTCATGTCTGATTTCTGGCGACTTCACAGCTAAATAATATGGCTTTCAAAGGATATTCTTGCTGCATTGGCCATTTAATGACCAAATAAACCTGACAATTGCCAAATCCCATCTCCTCCGTGGTTATGAAAGCCTGTTGTACAAGAGGCCGGGTGAGCTGTGACAAAGCTCTGTCACTGTCTCCATCATGACCTCCTCTCACTGCTGCACCAACTATAAGGGCAGAGGCCACTTTTTGTTTGTCACCTTTGTCAGGACACCAATCACTACCCAGCAGGGTTCCCTACAGGGTGGTGCTTGATAAAAGTCTGCTGAACCAAGTTAGAATCCATCCACAGGCTTTTCAATTCTTCTGATTTTAAATCTGGAGTGGAAACTGACTGTTGTTGAAATATCACCCACTTAATGAAATGTTTTATACCTAAGGCCATGTATATACGACGCCAAAATAACTAGCTGTTTTAGAAAATTTATCAGAAAATGACATAGACATCAGCTATCAGGGTGGGGAAACTGTGGCCTTCTGACTTCAAGATCAGTCTTCTCGAAGCCCCAGAGAAGGAGAGAAAAGCTTCATCTTTCTCTTCTGCAACCCTTTTAATTAAAGGATTTGTTTTATAAAATTTGGCTTCAGTCAAAAGGCTGCGCTTAAAAACCTAGAAGGCCACGGTGGTTTTCAGGCCTCAGGCCCCCGTCTGGCAGTGCTCCAGCAGCACCGCGTTCTGAATCACGGCGCTCACCTCTTCAGCTCAGCAATCAGGACAGGGGAATACTAGTGCTTTTCTTAACAAGAACAATTCACTTATGTCCTCAAAATATAGAAGGCACTAGAGACAAATAATTAACAATCAAGTAAAAAACTCCTCCCTGCAACATTTTTAAAATATCTTAATTCAAATTTTTTAATTTAAATAGCCATTATACAAATATGGGAAACTTATCATTGTGCAAACATGTCCTGCAATTGTCATTCTTCACATTTATCATGAAGCTCATAAAATCTGTGGTGAAAAGTCATCTGTAAAAAGTACCTCCATCAGGAAAAAGGTGAGGACCCTGAAGGCTAGCACAGTGGGGTGCTGAGGAAGACTTGTTTTATACAACATGGTTAATATTATGCAAATATTTCTCCCTTTTGTAAGTGCTTCTGGACTGACATACCTACCTGCATAATTTAACTCAAAGCCTATTCTAACTAGTAACACCCACAATGAGGCCTTTATCATCATTTTTCCAAAAAATAAATCCTCTGGATTAATTGACTGTGTTCTGGCTTCTTATATATTTTCATTTTTTTCTCCAACTAGCTTTGAAAGCTCAACCTATTTTAACAAATTGCTCTGCTCCTTTGACACACACACCAGTTGGCCAGACACCTATGCTATAAATTTCAAAGTATTATTGATATGAGTGTCCTCAAATGCCAAGAACCCACAACATTATGAATAAAAACCCAGCCTCTTAAACTTCTGTAAAATGTTTTAATTTTGTGGTTAATTTCAGTCTCTCTTTGATTCTATATGTTTTTTTTAAAAAAACACATTCTAGTGGGGTGGCTCACACTTGTAATCCTGGCACTTTGGTAGGCTGAGGGAGGTGGATCCCCTGAGCTCAGAAGTTGGGAGACCACGCTGACAAACACTGAGATCCTGTCTCTACTTAAACTAGAAAAATTAGCTGGATTTGGTGGCGCATGCCTGTAGTTCCAGCTACTTGGGAGCCTGAGGCAAGAGGATGACTTGAGCGCAGAGTTGGAGTTTGCTGGGAGGTATGATGCCATGGCACTCTATCCAGGGTGACAGAGTGAGACTCTGTCAAAATAAATAAATAAATACAAAGATACATAAGTAAATATACAAATAAAAAAGCAGATTCTTTTCTTAAATTGAAAAGAGAAACCACTGAATATTGGTTTCAGTGGTTTCTCTTTTCAATTTAAGTTCCTGGAAATGACAGATCTAAAAGTTTCTAAAATGTTATCTTAAAGTTTCATCTGAAGTAAGCCAAGTGAAGTATAATTGGGCATTCTGATCTTTTCTTTGAAAAAATATAGGAGAATTAATATCTAGTTGACTTGTTACATGAGCCCAATTAGACCCTGCTGTAACTGCTGTCAAACTGATTGTTCTCACACCTCTTTAAAGAAGTATAGCAAGTGATCTGATCTCTGTCCTGGCTGAAATGGGAAATAATGGTAAGGACATCACATTTCTAAATTTGACTTCTAGAATTTTTTACTTAAATTTGAATTTCTGGTTGAAAGGCATCACTTCTACTAGAAATAGAGATTAGGTTAAAGACTAAAGTCATAAAACATGGAAGTTATTAGAGAATTTGGGCACCTGAGGGTGGCTCTGGGGTTAAATGAAGTAACGTACATGCCAGACCCTGGTGGCTGGCACTTGGTAAGAACTTGGACCTGAATGACCTAGCTTAACACTTATTCTACAGGTAAGAAAACTCAGGCAAGCAACTCCTACTATTCACACATGAAAGGATTCTCCAAAAGGGCAAACTAACTTGAGGTAGAGTAATTGAATCGATCTTCTCTGATACGGTGTTTCATTTACTCAAGAGATGCAAAGTAGGTTTGGTACCATCACTGTAAGGGACTTTCCCAACATTCCCCTATGAATGGCTCTACTTTATTCCTGGAAATTTTATGTCTTGTTTCTAAAACTAAAATTAAGTTGAGAGAAAAGCATATTCCTAATCATTTTACTTCCCTTATTCTAAAAACATTTACTTAAAATTATTCCAGGGTTTGACGATCTAACACAATG